GCCTCGATTAGCTCGGCGCGTGGAAAAGCTGCAACCTTTCGATACTCACCATCAACAACTCGCTTCCAGAAAGATCTGAACTCATCGACACCTGCAGGACCCTTGCGCAGGAAGTGCCGCACAATCAGGTCCCATACGAAGTGCAGTTGCGGCGTCCAGTTGGCCTGCTTGTTCTTGACATAGTTGCCCCTCCTCGATTGCTGTTGTTGTTGCTGCTGCTGCTTCTGCTGCTTCTCCACGTCATCCTGCCCGCTCTCCTTCAGGATACCCGCCAGCTCGCCCAGGTTTCTCGAAGAAAGGGGGTGGTGGTGCTTCGCCTTGTCGCCGGTAGTCAGCTCAGGGCACTGTTCAAATGCGACAAGCCAGATGCCGACACCCTCGGGGGTCTTGGCCCAGCCGAGCTCGACCAGCTGCTGCAGCACCATCTCGACGCGGGGACGGTCCAGCTGCGCCAAGGCCTGCGCAACGACCCATCCGCACTGCGGCCGCAGCCAAATCTTCTTGCCGCCCAGCTTGACGAGCAGTCTGAGAATCTCGTTCCACCTGTCGGGGCCTTCCTCTTCGAGAAACAGGATCCTCGCGCGCACGAAGCACTCGAGCCCGAACAGCTGTCCAAAGTACAGGTCTCGCTCCTCCTGCCCTGAGATGTTTCCTCCGAAACGCGTCCTCTCCATCAACATCTCCAGCACTTTATCAAACGTCAGACCAGGATACTTGTCGCGGCACAAGTTCCTGGGCGGGCCGAGGAGCTGGCTGAGGATCTCGGTCAAGACGACGCTGTAGCCCAACCTCGACGCCGCTCTGCCGCTGGCAAGACCACGGAACAGTCGCCAATCGAGATGTCTGGTCAGACACGCCTCCGTTACGCCCTCGTCGTCGAGAAGGCTAGAGATGATGGCGCCAGCGGCCTCGAGGCGGTCCGTCTCGTTCTCGCTGCTGAGGAGGTCGTACAGCTTCGCTTCGCGAACACGGTCCTTGCCGGTCGAGTTCTCGACAAAGAGCTTCTTCTCCAGCAGGATCTTGGGCAGCCTAGTGCCATTGGAGCCTGTGGCGGCGTCGGCGACATCGTTCGAGTCCGGGGAGTTGCTACCGTCGGCCGAGGCGTCGTGGAAGGATTTTGGGCGCTTGTTGGACTCGGCGGCCTTGAGGGCCTCTCTCTCGGCGCGCTTGCGCTTTGCGCTCGCCGTCTTGGTCATTGTGTAGGATGTTTCCGTTCAATCGCAGACCAGTTCGTTGAGAAAGTGATATATTAAATTATCATGGAAATTGGCGATGTTTTCTTTTTTTCTTAGGGCGTTCTCATGTCGCAGAGCGCATTCTGTGATCGCTGCCAGGATCTCATCCAAAAAGTTTGGAGCGTAAAAAGTTCTGCCAGACGTTACCGCCCGGCAAAAAAAAACGGCTTTGACTTCACCTCACCCACGCCCCGCCGATGGTGGGGGTCCCTGCAGGTTTCCACTGTTACCCGCGAGGGGTCCACAACTCAATCCTGTGCCAGAAATTGGATGTCACAGTGAGGCGGTGACATTACCTTAATGTTGAGGTAGCTTTGAGAGAGAATTTCTCTCTTCTCATAATACACCCTCCTTCTGCTACTCTCTTAGTTTCCATCGCTTTGTCTGGCATTATGTTGAACCGTAGTGTGCACATCTTGTACTTCGCGGTTTCGGACGTGAAGCTCGCTCATCGACAGCTTCATCAACCGCTCCAGAGTGTTTGTTTGGCCGGCTATTCATTCACAAACATCTGAAACTCGACTTACCACTACACTTCTAATGAGAATTTCAACTTGTTTCACGGTCTGTTCGTGTGTGTTGTTCAGTTTCTGTTCCAAGATTGGTTGTGTCATACAATGGTCGTCACCAGGTCTCAGGCTGAACCTGGTCCTGAAGGAGGACAGAGGAGTGAAGTGACTTTCAGATGATTGAAAGAAAAATATTATATATCAAATGATATATCATCCATACCTTTGTATTCCGCTAGTGCAACCTGACCGAGTCATCGACGTCGCATCGAGATTCACGGCAGACGTAATAAACGGAGAGCACGTCCAGAAGCATATTTATCCATCGATCGAGATACAGAATAAGTATATGCACCATATTCTTGGAAGAAAGAATCAATGATGAAAACAAGAGCACTGACACGATGATTCGCTATAGGACTTCTGGGCTTAGAATGGCTCACAATGACTGTAGGTGGGCGGGTGTTAGGTGAGCGTATATTCCATTCAAGTATTCTAGGTTGGGACCTGAATCACCGAAGAGAATTGCTCAAAGCCTTCATAGACAATCGAACTGCAAAATTTTCATCTCGGCATTCCAATGAAACACCAATTTGACGACTTGAGAAAGATGCCCGGTAATCAGGCCAGGGGCTCTGGGTTTCCCGTAGTAGAGGCTATCTTCGCGAGGGTGACTGCATTGAGGCCGGCGGGACCATCCCGAGAAGACGGAACATGAGATATCCACACATCATCGCAAGTGAAAACTAGAGTTTTGTTCCCAATTTAAACTGTCTCACATTCAAGGCACTTCAAAGAGGGCCCGAGGCTTGATGACTGATTACGTCAAGGGAGAATAGAAGGTGGTCGTGATGCTCCCGGACATCAACGATGTACATGTTAGCAGCATTTCAAAGGCCAGACTCGCGATTGAGGAGTCATCCTCAGAAATTCCTCACATTATTCCCAAGAACATCGTAAATATATATCTATAAAGCCTGGCAGACTTGTACTTCTCATACCGTCGTGTGACGAAGTCAGAAGAAGCATGTTACAGCTCAACTATCCTGAGGTCTGACTGGACAGCGGGTCGCGCATAAAACACCTTCCTGGATGTTTGAACAGCATGATTCGTCTGTTTGACCCCGGTCTCTTCTACTATCGGCATACTGTCGAATAGACCCAGGAGTTCGTCGCCGGCTACGCCTTTCTCTTCTTCTTCATCCTCAACTTTCATGCTCATTGAAAAGGGACTCTGGGTTTGCTTTCTCATGTCCTGTGTAGTTAGACATTCACGGCATGTTCCCTCAATTCGCCGTCTCCAGAATAGGTTCCATGCTGATGCTCCTGGGGACAAGAATCTTTCGCAGCCATGTTGCCGGCTTCTACAGCGGTCCGAGATGTTCATGCGCCTCGACTACATCATTCCAAGTCTGCATGAATTTCCTCACTCTCCAAACACCCTCCTCGGACCAATGTATGCCTTATCTAGCCTCGGTCTCTCCAAACTATATCCCGATTCTTCCATACATGCTTTTGGTAAGATACTTGATGTACAATGGAGAGCTTTCCCTCCGTATGACTCAGCACAAGCGCACCTGGAATCATAGGGACACTGAACGCGAAGTCACGAAAAGGAGTGGGCAAAGAAACTCGTCCCTATAGGACACCAGCCGAAAGGTCACGCGATACCCATAACGTCTCCCAAGAAACACTGGACTCCTCTTGACGGACTTCTCCTGTACCCCTCAACCGCGTTTCCCACAACTCACTAGGTGACAGGATCGGAAGGAGAAGAGACCCAGGCACACCTTTCACTTCTCCTTGCCGGGACAGGCAACGAGATTTTGCCACACTCACAGCCATTTTGCTCCTGGTGATGAGTGCCAATGGTAACCGGAGTGCCAGCGATGATGCTTGTGTTCTACAGTATTCAACAACAGGCTGATGAGCTAGAGGTCCTGTCGCAAAATCGTCATTTCCTCCAACCTCTCGTGCCGTCGGCCGGTGACCGGAGTTCGGGAGTATTGCTAAATCTGTTCTAGGATTCTTGTGGTCTTTTCGGTTTTCATAAGAACTTGAAAGATATTTAAACCGAACATTTCTAGATCTCTTTTAACAGCGTCCACCAGCTTTTGTGATATATTCCACACGGAATAAACAGCACTTGCAGGGCAGTACTCTCTTACAATGCACTCTCCCTATATTATACAGGCCTTGGCTACCACATAGAGCAAACTCTGGCTACACTTCCACACGTGAGACAGATCTGACATTTTATAGAGGGAACTTCGGCCCATTCGTAACACAGAGTCTCACGGGACGCCAATGATATTACAGGCATTCACAATACCGGAGTCGTCTCGCTCCTCCTCCAAAACCAGTCCGGACAGATACCTTAAACCCGCCCAGTCTACGACAGCTGGATTCAACGGCAGCAGATAGTAATATAGCTATCGACACCGGTACCAAGGCTGTAGAGGTTCAGCCAGGCCCATGTTTGCTACAAGATCCAACCGCAGTTGAAGTAATTCAGATCTCCCACCAACCAACCGCAATCCCAAATCATGCAAGCCAGGCAAAGAACCCCCAACGCTGATCCAAAGTCACCTTCCCTACCTAAGCACTACCGTTTCCCCTAAACCTCTGACCTGTAGTCTCACGATATAGCACCGCACTTGACCACACGAATTCAGGGGCCGGGATGGCAACAGAATCAACGGCTTCAGGGGCAAAGGGCAACGGGAACAATACTGAGAAACAACAACCACCCAATCGTAGTCTAGTTTGAAACTGCTGATCAGCCTCCAGTAACGGGAACTAGGCACCATCTTCTAGAACAATCGATCCCCTATCCAGGACAAGTATACAGACATCACGGCGCCAAAACCAAAGCTTCACCCCTCTACGAACACACCTCACCAACATAGTCTACGTACACCAGGCTGAAGTCGGCCGCCGGGCTCTGTCTCCGTCTTCTCAGACCCTCCTCAGAGTGCGCCAGCCGCCCACGCTGAAGATGCTATTCCTTAGATCGCTTGCTAGATACTTACTGATGCTGATCCAAGATGGTGCTACCAACAAGCCGCCTCAAAACCACGCCGAAAGAGACTCTCGCCCTCCCGTTGCCATCGTGCCATCTTCCACTCGCTCCCGCTTAGTTCAGGGGGGAAGCAACGTTTGGCTAAACCCATCAGGTCGTCGTCCATCCATCGTCCAGCCTGCCGCCATTCCAAAGAGCCGCCCCGTCACGCCGCCACCTTTTTTGTTCTTTGTCTCAACCCTCGTGGGGGGGAATGTTAGGATGTTTTAGCTCGGAGGGCGCCATGCCCGTTTTATATCGACTACCCTTCCCGTCCACAGCAGCATTACCTACTTACCTACTCATATGCCTTACCAAGAGGACTAGTCGGGAGAAAAAAAAGGCCTCCCGACTTGAAGCCAAACGAACACGCCACAAACGCATGTTAGTCGAGCGGCGCCGTCACCGAAGAAAAAGAGTCCGTCCCTGCGGGACCGCAAGCCACCCCAGATCCGACTGTCAGACGTTCGACGGAACTACTCAACAAGTCGAGACGAACAAAGAAAATATGAAAAAAGGGTCTTGTACCACGCTCAGCGTCCCTGAGAAGTAGGGGTCTGCCCACCTACATACCGCATCAACCGCAATGGCAAAACGGCCACCGGGGAGGAATGTTGCGGACATTAGGTCGCCGCCGCCATCAGAAACAACTTTGCACCAACGCGGACTCTGAACGGCGGCTCGGCCGGCCGGTCGGTTCATATCGGCGCGGGCGTGGCGGTCTCGCCCGACCTGTTTCGCTGCTTGTGTAGCCTGACAAACCTGGGCAGTGGGAGGATGGGAGGGGGAAGAAGAGGATGTTTGAGGTCTCGGGGATGTGGGGGAGGGGAAGAAGAAGACAGCCAAGGGCCCAAAGGCTCCAGAGGCGGCGAGAGAGACAAGCGAGCACGCAAAAAAGACCCTGATGTTCCTGTAGCCGTCGCGGGAACCGTGAACAAGCCCATCGGACAATTGTTCGCCTCTGGAGGCGCGACGTGGGTGGCTCGAGGCTAGGGTAGCATTCGCCTAGCAATGCGCGCGGAATCACTGTGACTGGCGAGTTTCGGATGCCTTGTTGGTTTGGGACGTGTGAACATCGTTCAAGGCATTGCGTTGGCTCACACTCTCAGACGCAAGAACGGCGGTGGAGAGCCTATTCCGGAAGCTCGTTCATCCCGACTTGATTCTGTGGTGTTGGCCCAGCTGTTGCCGTTGCTAGCAGACTGCTGCTCCTCCTCCTGCTGCGACATGGGCTGGGGAATGGAAGAGTCAGGTCAGACCCGTCGGTCAGACGGGCAACAGAGCATACGGGCCCGGCTCACCGGGTGATATCGTTCGTTTCAGACATCGGTGCGGGTTGCCCTGCTTCTCCAAGGCATAGGTCGGTTGTGTCGGTAGCTGCTATGGCCGGACAATTAATGAGAAACTATCAATCCCCAGTCCGCATGCATGGCGACTTGTTTCGACCCAACTTTGGATCTTCGTATCGCATTAGCCGAGAGCTGAGGAATCGTTCATCAACCAAGTGGGTGAGGTCTTGGGAGCTTGGGTGCTTGGGAGCTGTTTGCCCGTGGTTGCTGCGCCCCGAAATAGAGCTCCCCTTGATAGCGAAAGCGGGGAACCCAGTCCCAGAATCCCATGCTCTCCAAGCAAGTCCAAAGTCAGTCTCAGCCCAGCAACATCCAGTGGTTCCGGGGTCGACGATTGAGACTGTAAGATAGAGAGGTTCGAAAGAGGGGTGAAGGAAGCATGAAAGAGGAGCTCTATCCATAGAGTAAACCCCCCTGCGCTGACACCAAGATCCTTCGCCAGCCTTGTCATCATCATGGTATCGTCAGCAGTCGCGAAGCGGCGCCTCTCTTGTATTGACCCTCACAACCCGGGGGTCATCTTGACGGATTCCCGGCTTCAATGATGTGATGTTATCCGCAATTCGTAGCCGCAGAAAGAATGAACGAAAATCGGAGTTCGTCCGTACACGACGAGCCATGCCGAGGGATGCCGACTCCACTGAGCCCCCAAACCTGAGCTGAAGCTCCGCTCGGACGTTCCTGGTTCCTGTCCCATCAGCACGTCCCATTCGAGAATCTCTCCCCCCTCGTCGGTTTCTTCCCTCCCTCCCCCACTACCACAGCACCAAACGTCAACCTTGAACCAGGTTCGCCCAACCGGACCGTCCAACCAGCTGCCAAACCGGGATGACGGCGGCTAGAGACGTCACTGCTGGAGACACCATCCTTGTCGACATCACGTGAACCAACACATGACTTCGCGTTGAAGCTAGGATCCAGAAACAGGGTCTGCAGGGGCCCATTGTTGACATGAATCGCGAAACCGCAGTTTGTAAACAAAGTGCCCGCCAACGAGAAGAGAGAGCGAGGAAAATTCCCCTCACTTGAGTATGGAGAGTGGCTTGCTTCCCACCCGCGGTGCAACGCGCCCGCGCCGTCTGCACCCGCTTTCGTGCTTCACCATAGCCGTACCAACGATGACGAGACAAAGAAAGAGCTCCATAACGGCCTAAACGGCACCGTTTGTCCATTGGACTGGGTCCAAGGCTAGAGACGATCCTCAAACGTTCAGCCAGAGACGAAAAACGATGTGAGCAGGATTTGAGCGACGACTCTCTGCTTCTCCACGTTATCCGTGGTGGGCCGCGTAAAAGGTGTTTGATCGTGGTCTTGGAGGGGTCAAGGGGCAAAAGAGGGGAAGTAGTGATGGCTCTCTCTGTGTGCGCAAGTAAAGCTGAGGAACGGGAGAGGGGAAGAGGAGGGGCACGGAGACCCGAGGGAGAGGGAGGGGACAACGCCATCGCGGATTCTGTCACGCGGCACTGACTGATGTGTCTATACCGGGCGTACGACAAGGCTTGCAAACCTTCTATCAATGTCAAATTCAAGCTGAAAGTTTGGCTCTGACAGCTCCCGAGTGCATTGGGACGCCTCATTGGATTGTTTCCGATGCCTGTCTTCCCTATCATGCAGGTAATCTTCAATAGCGCGAGACGGCCTCATCAATCCAAGGCATCACGGCCTGGTAGCGCCGAAGGCCAAGTCTTGTGCGCGCGAATAAACAAACAAGGCGAGCCATCCAATCCTGTTTCTCGGTGGCATCTGTCGCTCTCTCTCGCCTCCGAGTCGAGTCCCCTCTCGTTTCGGTCAAGCTTGACCGACATGTTGTCGTACGTGTGAGCCATCTCTCTAGTGATTGGCACTGTTTCCGGTTGTTGATGGGTACGGGGTCGCTGTCGATGCGGCCCTGGCACTGGATCCAGTATACCCATGGTCGTGATGCTTCGAATTGTGCAAATGCTCCAGAAAAGAACGATGTGACCGCATGAGAATGACGGCCCGGCTAAGCAGGATCTCGATACACGACGGCGAGACGAGCGCTCTGCCTTGGGGGAGGGGCCGCAGGCCGGGGGGTGTTCTTGAATCTTGACGATCACTGCCAGGCTTGACCCCGAGAGGATGACGTCTGTTTTAGAGCCGGACTAGACCGGCCGCAGGTGATCGGGACGGGAGGTGCGTGATCGATGCTTTTTTACATCGAGATGGCCGATGGGGGGGGGGGGGGGTTCTCACATCGCCCTCTACGTCGCCGCCCATATTTGTACGAAGTTCGGATACGCAAGCTTGACTTGTTAGCCTCAAAGTCATGGATGATGGCCAGACCTTGTTTTTCTCGATGTGTAAATGCCGGGTGAGACCATGTCTTGAGGCATGGGAAGATGCCTGAAGACCATGTTTTTGTTGTGCCCATTTCTTCTCGAATTTCCTTCTCGCGTCTGATGAGTCAAATCGCGATCGGGCTATATGCGTATGTATTATCGCAACCCAATCAGTAGTTGTGCGGCGTGCCTCCAACCAGCTTATGTCAGTAATTCTCCGACCGCATTGATGGAGGAGTGGCGTGGTGGTGTTGGGGTTTCGGTCGCTTCTTGGTCCTGGCCCGGGATCGGGCGATGCTGGATACCGAGTATTCGGATGATTCATCCGCATTTTGCTGTTTGAGCATCCTCATCTTACACTCTCAAGGCTTTCAGGAGTTGGTCCCGCTGACCTGTTCGTGTTGAACCCTTGTTGGCGTGAAGCTCGTGCGATTGATAGAGCAACGCGAAAGGAGACTCATCTTGTAGCACCGAGGATGTTCTCCATGGCGCCAGGCATAACGCCGTAGCTCCGACTTTCGTCACAAGGTTTGAGGCGCCCTTCTGAATAGTTCCAAGGCGGCGGCCCGTCATCAGATCAGACAAGCTCGACATGGCAATTTGCGTCAGCCACACTCACTGTCAGTGATCATTTACATTCCTCCACCCGCCTTCACCGACGGCCAAGTGCACTTGCCTGTGCACCCGCTTGGACTTGAAGCTGTCGACTCGCAATCACGATCCCAACGCCAGTCGCTAGTGCGCCAATGGCAGCCGGTGGCTTGGAATCGGGAGGATGAGTGGGCTGTGCGTAGCCTCTCGCTCGTAGTGTACCCGTCCGGTAAAGTGTCGCGGGGTTCCAGGGCTCGGTGAATAGGGATGCGACCCATAGACGATTTTTTTTTCTCTAACCAAGCAACCGTAGATTAGGAGCGGAACAAGACAGGGTAGGCCGGTCAATATCAACAGGGTTGACGATGGCATCGGCCCTTTAAGCGAAGTCAAGAGCTTTATGAACGTTTCGTCCATTCTTGAAATCGTGAGCCTCATCCATTGTTGCGCAACCCCTGGCGGGATGGAATTCTTCAATCCTATTTCGAGACGCCCAGGTGATCAACATGGTCATGCTCACGGTCAAGGTTGGCCCAAGGCCGAAAGCCGGCTTGTCGATCGAGCTGATTTTTTGAAGACGAGCTTTCCAAGAACAGTCCAAAGTAAACAAAAGGTCCCCTACAGAGTAAGACGGCGGGCGTCTCGAGGGAGCCGGGGATGCTGCATGGTGGTCACCAACGAGAGGGGTTCTTCTTTGGCCCAAACCTCTGTGCACACGGAAATATGACAAACATGCCTTTGGCCGGGCCTTGTAAGTGGAGCTCTGGAGCTTCAAACCAGGATCCTGCCGTTGCTGATGTTGTCATGTCGTCCCAGAGGAAAACGAGAGGCACGAGAGCCTGTCTCGCCTGTATCGAGAGCTTCTTCAACCCCACTTCGTGAGTCGTGAGTGCGTAACTCGTCCTGCATGAAGCTGGAGCATCTCACCGTCGACAGCCGCGGTCGCCGGGGGAGCTTCGACCCTGTGGAAGCTAGGGCGGGCCGGCCAACACGGCGGAGCATCAGAAACATGGCTGTAATACTCTGGAAACCTGGACTGCATGCAGTAGCTGCAGCAGCTTGATGCAGCCCGGCCATCTGTCCGCAATGCAAAGTGCAGCTCTGCATCCGAGGTATCCATCTTCATCGACTATCCATCCAAACGTATCCGTGGGTACTGCACAGTTTCTGCATCGAGCTCGCATACGCGCATCAGCTATGCAGCACATCTGCAGCCCGCCGCGCGGTAGTGTGCTCTGTAGGCGGGGGAGCATATGGGACTGGCGCCCGAATCTTTGCTCGTCCCGATTCCCCTGTTGCTTCTGTTGCCCCGTCGAACAAGTCTACGAGACGCAGAAGGATCCAAACTGACTGTGTCCTTGGAGACAAACACCGGCCGCTTCTGCGACCATGTCGCAACTCGGATAACCACCATGCGACCTTCATCTCCCCAGCCGCCGGCTTCGGATCGGCCTGACCACTGAGCGAGATACACGTACCGACGTGCGATAAAACCAATGTCTCTATCGCTGTTCCTCGATGCACGGTGCTCATTGTGGAGATGAAAGACTGAGCGTGCCGCTTCACCGCCAGCCGGTCTTAGACAGACTTTGACTGGCATCTGGCATCTGGCAGCCTTCAACACCCGTGCCCTGAACTCAAGTGTCGCGCCGTCAAATCCGCATCATTCAAATGCTTGACCAGCGCCGCTGATGTTGGCGTCGCCATTGATCGCAGGGCAAGCTGCCATTCGCCCGTCTGTTCGCCAGCCAGTCAAGCCAGGTAAGCCAAGACCCAGGCCTAGACCAGCTGGATGGATCACTATCAGGGAGTCGACATGGACAACCGGGGCAAGACTCGAACTCTGTTGCTCTGTCAGAACGGTCGTTGTCAGTCGTCATCTCGGTGCATCGCCTGGTCCGGGTTTGGTGTCTGCTAATATTCCGAGCTTCAGCCCCAGCCCCAGCCCCAGACCCAGCTCCAGGCCGAGCTTGAAGCTTCAGCAGAGCTCTAACAAAGCTCTCTTTCTGTGTGTCTCTTTTCTTCCCAAGCTCCCGAGCTATTACCACGCACCAAGCTCCATCTGTGCTTACAGTGTATCCACTTGCCTTCCGAAACAAGATGCCCTGTAAGCCAGCTGTGCCAGCGCCGCAAGAATAGTGTCTCAGCGCCCACTAGACCCTGTGTTTCTCCTAGTGACTGATAGCGAGCCAATTGCAACGCCAAATCGGTGTGAACAAGAGGCTCTGGCAGGTCCAAACTGTTTATTCGAGGACCGCGGTCGGTTTGAAGTTTGGGTTGCACGGGACGATGTGGCAGTGATAAGCAATCCTGAGGTTCCCAGGTAGGTAACGAGAGCGGAGTCTAGCCCAGCACGCATACATACGAATCGCACGAGACAGAAGCCGGGGCCAGGACCGGGGTCACGTACTGGGCCGATGGGCGGGGGAAAGCGAGGGACTGCCCTAGGCTTGGCTGAGAGAGTTGAGAACTTGAGGCAGAGCGGCCGAGAGCTCTGGCCAGTCGCGATGGCGGAGATGGAGGTGAAGCCCTGCGAGCTGCCGATGCCCCCTTGTCGGACCCTAGTCAAAGCCCAGCTGATCCCAGCCGATCCCACGTCTTCAGCCCAGGGCCGGCCCCGTTGGTTGCTGTGGGGAGAAGATGACGATGGGGGTTTTACCGGGTCATTAATGTATGGAGCACTTCTTTTTTTTCCTTCGAATTTTCTTCCTGTCTTCGGAACCTCCTTTTGGTCGTTGCCGGATCATTGCTGAGATCCGCTTTGTGGAGGCAGGGTCTTTCGAGCAAGTGCTGAAAAAAAATCTTTGCAGACATGCTCAGCTATGTTGATGGGTTTAGTGTAAAGTCTCACGACGCGACTCCGTACACTAGCCTATGTGCCAGATCTGCCATTTCTCGGCTCTTGTCGTACGGTGCGGTAGAGACCGAATAACTCGGCAGGGCCGGTTTTCCTCAGGCTCGGGCCCCGTTCGCTGGCCGGACAGCTGGGCCGTCTAGATTCGCTCGGAGTGCATCAGGATTTCGAGATGGAGGATACGAGCAAGGTCACCGCAGATGCTCGACACCCAAATCTACGTCATTGCTGGGCTTGTGATTCCTGCAGCCCTGACGTTTTGACCTTCTGTGCATGTCACTGATGCGGGCCATTGGGAGGCCATCTCGAGGTCACCAAGGAATGCTGTTGTCTTGTGTATCTGTAGGAAGAGGAATGTAGACTGGGTCCGAAAAGGGTATCACAGCCAAGGATCTACGTCCCGAATTAGCGAACAATTGTACAGTATCATCCCCATTGATGGCTTGTTTGTCGACGGGATAAGCCTGTGAATAATTAGCGGCCAACAAGCCACTCACGAGTTTTTTCGTACTCCGTACCAGAGAAAGGGGGAAAAAGTCTGACATGGCCCATAGTCACCACGCCATTTTATTCCAACCTTGTCTCAAGCAAGACCCTTCTCGCAGGCTACGACCCGGCAACCGAAGAATGCAGCAAGGAGTCGTTTAGGGCCCTGAAGTCTCACTTCAGATGTTTGCTGACGCCCCGGAAATGTCATCGCCTGTGTCGGCCGCAGCGGATGTGCCCTGCCTGCAGCGGCAACATCAATAGGTCTGGATTCGGGCATACTGTGTATGCCTCCGGGGGCGTGGTTGCTTGGGAGCACCAGGTCCGAGTAGCAAGCTTGGTGTGCCGTGTGGCCTGAACGGTGAACCCAAGCTGAAGGGATGACGAGACGGGCGAGATTCGGGAGATCATGGGCGTGGGAGCCCTGTCCAAAGCCGCCAGGCGTTTCCGTTTCTGCCGCTGCTGTGAGGTAGCCTTGCCAACCCTGTGTCCAACATGAGGATGGAGGTCGTGGTCCGGGGTCTTCTGGCGAATGAGGATGGAAGCATCACGATTAAGGTGCAGGAAGCGGATGACACAATAGGCAAGGCGGCGCCTGATGTAATTGCTGGCTCCAGACCCTGATTGCTGGTAGGCTAAGCAGCCGGTTGCTCAGAGCAGGGGATAAAAGTCAGTGAGTTGGCAGACAGGCGACAGACGGGAGAGACAAGCCGCTACTGTCTTGTCTCTGAATGCTGTGTTTGTAGCCGTACCTATGTGAAAGAGTACATGCTCGCACGTCCAGTGCACTGCCGAAGTATTAGGAGGTGCTCTGTAGCAAGACACACCCTGGACAGGGGACAGCTGAGTAGGGCGATACGCCAACTCACCGCTCATTTCCAGGCTCGCGATGGTCACTGGCGGTGGTGTTGGTGCTGAAGTGCGGCGTTGTCAGCGGTGCTGAACTTGATCTGATGGTTTCCCGCGCCGGGCGATGATGTAAGTCGACGGCCTAGGCCCACTTCTGCCAAGTGAGGTTTGCTAGTGCTAGGCAGAGAGGCATTTTGGAGGTGACAGTGTGCAGCTGGCAGGTCGGCTGGCACCTCAAGCAACCTCGTGGACAGTAGAAGCTGACTCTGTCGATTCGGTTCGAGGTTCGTGTGAAGGGCGCTTAGAAGTTGGCTTCTCGGATAGCCTAGCGCCAGCCTTCAGCCACACGGGGGCCATCGTCAACTAGATACCGTAGTTCACAGCCGGGGCGACGGTGAAATCAGTCTTTAGTTGATGGAAGGGGGGAGGGGTAAAAGGATGACTGCGGCCGTTGGGGGCAAAAAGGGACGAGCGGACGATGGCTTGCAATGGACGCATGTCGTTGCCATATGGATGGATCACGGGAGGCGCGTGTAGGTGGTCCTTTGCACGTAGTGTTTCCCTGTGCGCGTCGTTTGGATCTCGGATTACAGTTCAATGGACCGGTGGTTGACTCGTATCTAGAGAATCCTCAGTGATTTCCGTTGGAGCTGTGCCATATTCGATGTGCTGTTGTCGTCAGGGTACTCGAGTCGGACTGGCATTGGGATTGCGTCTGGCTTGTTGCACTAAGCCAAGAAGATAGTCGAAAGTTGATACCGCTTTTCGCTGGGCCCGGCGCTTCTTCGCAAGTGGTGCTTTCTGCCCGAAGGAAGGGAGAGCCAAATTAATCGCAATTGTCCAACAAGTGGACCAAGTAGTAGACGGAACGCTTGCGGGCAATAAGTCGAAGCAGAGGTGCGGCATAGAGATGCTTTGTTGGAAAGCTGAGCTGAATTGTATGAATGTTTGAGCTTGCACAGCACTAAGAGGAACAGCACAAAGCACAAAGAGCACAAAGGAACAAAAACGTTTAATTCATTCAACGGGGTCGAAACCGCCCTTGCCTTAGGTTGGTTGTTCCTGGCTAATAATTGAATGGAAGTGGAAGGAAAAGACTTCCTTCCATTGGACACTTTGTGCCTTCCAAATTAGAGTCGAGCCTTACACCTCAGGTTTGACCATTGTGAGGCAGGAAGGACTCAAGGAATACCTTAGGTAGGTAGTGTGTAGAGTACCTTAGGTAAGTACACTAGGCAAGGTACTCAGTGCCTGCCAATATCACTTACAGAAGGTGGAGAGGCCTGGAGACTTCCTCCCATGGCTGAGGCGTGGGAGAAGGAAGGGACCTACCGTACGGATACGCATGGAAGGTACCTCACCTCTCGTCACTCCGCACTTTCCTCATAGGCCCCGCAGGTTGTAGCATCTGGGTCGGCGCCGGGTCCGCTGCACGGTTTTTTCTTCTCTTCAATTTTCTCTCTCCCTGCAGACGGATCACCGGGCTACGAGACCCTTCCACTGGGCAACCCGTTCTTTTCCTTCTCTTCCGCCTCACTACCATGGGAAACAGCGGGGATCAGAAAGGGTTTTCTCGACGCTTGGTATCCGTATCATGTAAGACCATCACTACGGTCCGGGTTACGGATACCTTTAGCCTCAAGATGCTGCAGCAACCGCAAGTCCGCAACGGGTCGACGGGTCCAACATCCAACGTGACACTGGTTTGATGGCGAGTTTACTGGATCCCGTTCCGAAAGCTGCCCAGCGACCAGCTCCGGGTGCTCCAGTCCACGGCTGCACCGCACACCACAGACCACCCCGCGGGCCTCTGTTGAGGGACTCGGGGACTCAGGGACGGTATGCTATGTTGCCCACAGACCAAGTTGCGGACAGAACATCAAAATCTCTTCTCGGGGAGTTTCCAATCTAACGCCAGACAGAAACATGGCCGGTCAGGTGGGTGACGACTGAGCACGAGAACCACTTCCAGACTCGAGCTTTCTGGAGACCGCCTCCGATCACTGGAGAACAAGACCAAGACCAGACCACGAAAGGCCTCGCGCTTCTCCGTATCAAACATGTTAACCCTTTTGGCGCCACCGATACTACCGAGTCAACGGGCTACGGCGTACCGAGTAGAGTACGTGCACACTGCGTCGGGCCCTAAAACTTCCTAGCGACCAGACGGGAAGCCCAGCACGCCAGCAAGCACGCCAGTCCCCAGTGAAGGGTTGCTCACGTTTAGGGCGGATGGGAAGATGGAGAGAGCCCCTCATGCCCCTGACGCCTCAACCGATAGAGCATGAACTCGACGCTCCAGGGCAAGCCGCCAGCGGCCATCAGTGGGGTGATGGAACATTCAGGCGAAGCCGCTGTAAATCCGTCAATTGTTGCGGCAACCGCCTGTAAGGGGGGAAAGTTCCCCAGGGGATTGGTGCCAAAGTAGGGGCCCCCTGTACGCCGCAACGGCGTTGTTTGGCGCCTGAGTCGTCGGAGGATGTTCGTGGAGTCGAATCCAGTTCTTCCGCCCCTGAAGGGTCCCTAGCTGGGAGGGTGCGAGACCCAATTACAGCGTTGGTATTCATACGGCGTCACGTACCTCGCGGGAAGACAGGGCGAATGTGGGCGCGGGCGTGGTTCATGTCGGTAATGCTGGGTGGATTTGGGGGTGTGTGACTGCAAGAGACATGTGGACGGGACGGATACCTGTGTGTATTCTTCGCAGATGTGGTAAGGTACGGAGCATCGGTGACCAGTCTTCTCCAATCTCAGCATGGCGGCGAGATGAGGAATTACTCGTACCTGCTTTTGGGGGGCCATGACTTGCTGCTGGATGAAAATGCTTGTGCTGGCTCCAGCTGCTTGTGCTGTGCATCGGATCCAAGGGCACCACACGGGCAAAGCTCGAAGCGCATTGGCTAAGACAAGACGGAATTTGGTGCGATTGGCACGATTCTGCTCGATTTCCTTGGTTTGCTGCACAGCACAGATAACCTTTTTGCTGTTGCGCATTACCTTAGTTATGCCCGCTCGCGGCTTTTCTACCTTGACGCAAGGTAAGGCACCGACGAGCTGGAAGGAATCTTAGGTGAGAAAGTCTTCCTTTTCCTTGCCCTGCCCTGCTTTCCAGGTACGTACCTCGAGCCACGTGCTCTTTGGCTCGGGTCGTTCTCTTGCCTCTGCCTCTGCCTTGGAAGCTTCTGCCGTCCGACCATTTGTTTTTATTCTAGAAGACTGACAATCGATTGATGCTTCAGCCGAAGAAGAGAACCAGGGAACGCAGGGCAACGGGAGAGAAAGCAAGATATTCTCAGCTCAATGACCACACACACACACACACACACACACACACACACACATTGTGCCTTGGCAACGTGTAAAGTGGGGGGGAAAGGGTACGAGGAAAAGACTGGAAAAAAAGGCACGCTAGAATAAGGTGCGGATGTATTACCAGGAATGGCCCTGTGTAAATGGCCAGCAAAGTCCCAGAGAAGGACCGCAGACGAGAGACCTACAGGGTCATGCCATGTTGCTTACGTCCAATGGCAGTGAGTGAAGGCGAGTTAGTGTACGTTGTGCAGCAGCATCGATGCAAGTTGGCTGCAGTATCATTTACTCAGTGACAGTTCAGAGACAAGTCGAGATAGAGCGAGAGACATACACCACACAGACACGAGACACCACCTCGGAGACTGAGAGGGAAAAGGTTCAAGCCCAGATTGCTGCAACTGGTAAACGGTGGAAAGCAAGCAAGAGAGCCACAGAGCCTGGAGGCAAGGCAGAGAGAGACACCCGGGCCCCATCCATCTGCATCTTTTGTCTGCATCTGCATCTCCATCTCCATCTGGTGCATACACACTCCCTGTCGTCGCCGTCCACCCAGAAGCTCTGATGCAGCTGCAAGTCCTGCAGTAGCTGCAGCAGCGACCAAATCTCCCCTGACAACCAAGTTCAAAGTTGACTTTCAAGTCGCGGTTGGGTGGGCATCGCACCAGAAGTTACGCGCAGTGAGAGAGAGGAAGATCACCAAGGAGGCTCCACGACGAAGGGGGGAATGTCCCATCGCGAAGAAGGGTACGTACTGGCTGTCAGATACGTACTCGTTGCAGCAGCACACCTCACAGCCAGGTACGTACAGACAGCCATGTACCGCCCCCTTGGTCGTTTCTCTCTACCTTATCCGCACCTTGGCTTCACTACGCCGTACTACGTAAGGTATCCGTAGTCTGGGCTGGTCCCCCCCGTTTGGCGCTTCCCTGTTCGAGTGTCTGGTTCTGGAGCTGATGGCCCTTGGCTGGGGGTTTGTACCTGGTTCTGGCGCTGGTTGCTCAGAGAGAAAGTCTAGCATCAGACATGGCACCCAATGTCGTAAGGCCAGATGCTCCGTACCTAGAGCAGGGAAAGAAAGGCAAGGCAAGAACCGAGACGAGGCGAGCCATGGAGACAATTCATAGTATAGGCTTGTTGTCTGTATAAAAGTACATTGTACTGAGATTGAGGTTGCGTAGGAGGAGCAGAAAGAGTGGAGGGATATCGTCGGCGGCTGCAGTGTGCTGTGCGTGACTGCTATGCTGTGCGTATGTATGATGTCTCGCCCTCTCTCTGTGTCTCTCTCTTGGTGTACTCCGTACCTAACTTGATATTGTACATTGTCGTTGCTGGTCTGAATGCTTAGTCCCGGCATGTCATCTTGTACCCGTTCCTGTCTCGTTGCTGGTGGTTCCTGTTCCAGCTCGTCCAGCTCCAGTCTTCCCAAGTTCCCATCAATCTTGACCATCCTGGGCTAGCAACAACTGACAGTGACATCCCCCATCCCGGTCAAGTCTCAATTCACCCCGTCGAGTTGCCTTCCTGGACCTGGTTCAGGTTTCCATCCACACACCCTCTCTCTTCGCTCGCTCCCGTTGTCGTCGTCGTCGTCGTTGTCTGGCGGCTGTCTGTCTGGTCGCTACTACACTCTTCCTACCTAGTCGGCTACGCAAAGTAGCAGTGGTAGACTGGTGGTAGTGGTGGTACATAGCACCGTTGCTGTGTGCGGCGTATGCCTTGGTTCCATCCCATCCCATCCTGACTCCCAGAGAGGCCTGGTTCCTGCTTCTGGTCGCTTGGTTGCTGCTTCTTGTCCCATCCTGTCCTTGCCCCATCCCCCATCCCCATCCCCATCCCAGGTATCCCATCCCATCCTGTCCCAATCCCGTCACACACACCTCATGGTTGCTGCACACCACACCTCTCACGCACACCACACACACCACACACCATCCGTACACTACACACCTTGATCCATGGTCCATGGTTCCAGAGAGTGACAGAGAGAGAGAGAGAGAGAGAGAGAGAGACAAGACACACACCCAGTTCCCATCCCATCCCAAATCCATATCCATATCCATATCCATACTTTGCTCACCACGACCAGTCAACCACACACACACACCACACCTTCATTCAAAAACCTCTAGTCTCCTCTTTCTTCCGACCTCTTCCCTCCCTCTCTCTCTTCTTTCCCCCCTTCATCC